ATTAATTAATCGATACGTTTTATTACTTTAATTGTAGGAGGGCCATTATGAAAACTACTGGGTGACCAGTAATCAATGTCTTTACCCTCGTTAAATAAAGTTATTTATTATTTATTTAAATAAATGCCTTAAGTGCTCTTTTAAGGAAAAAGGGGAGGAAGAGTCGATGATGTTGGTGTTTAAGGTGCTTGATAAAATACCGAAAATTGTTTGATTCGAGTACGACAGAAAGGCAGACGAAATTTACAAGAGTTTGAATTTGTCTTTGTAAATTAAATTTACAATGAAAATTTTAAAGTTAGAGTATGGTTTTGATAGGAGTACATGAATAAGCCTAGTTGTATTAAGTACATATCATGAAATTTTAAGATGCCAAGATTCTGAAAGATTGAATCAGTATGTGCATCGAAAGGAGTTTTAGCTATAGTTCTGATCACTCGTTTCTGTAAAATCTCAAGACGAATAAGGTTAGTTCCATAAGAAGAGGCCCAAACTAAGTTGCAGTACAAAAAGTATGGATAGACTAGATCTCCGAAATTCCAGTGGTAAGCTAACTCTGCCCGAGCCACGCACCGATTATCTAAAGCGTAGCTTTGGCGATAGCGGGGCGCGATTATGGAATTCATTACCAGAATATGTTAAAAACATCAAATTTAAAGGGGAAATTAATCAGGTGATGTAATCATCAGTTTCCCACTCGCCTGTCTTGTACAACAGTAAGTGAAGTGTACACTGTGCTAATTTAACTGTTTATTTGTAACTTTATAAAATATATAGATTTAGCGAGGGCTAAAAGCGAAGCTCTCGATAATATTTACAGTTCGTTCAAACAAAATATAAAATTATGTAATGCTAAGCGGCGAAGGCAACGCCAGAGAACGATGAAAAGAGCAATTGGTCTAATTAGGAAAAAAGCAACTTTGCTCATGCAGCACACTTTTTTTGTACATTTCTTTCCTGTTGTTTTGTACGACTACAACGTGAAACGTCCAGAAACTTCTTAGTTACACTTATAATGAAGGAAATGTCGTACGTGTTCTCGTTCCCTTATTTTCACTGCCGCTCGTTTTCACCTTGCATTTGATTGGTGACCGCTAGCATTTCTCAATTTGTCACCTCCACTACAAATTTTTCATGTTGTTCTTCCAAAAAAAAAATGTCTCCTTTTTTTATCTCTCGCTCTAGATCTCTGTCGCCCTTTTCTCGTTGAGCTTCGGTGGCCTGCCACCTACTTTCTCTTTTGCTCTGTCTTTCTCTTGCTCTATATTCCAAATATGTGGACATGACAATTAATCTAAGACGCTTAATACATGAGACAACACGGATACAGAAACAATTTCCGCTTTCGGTTTCGTCTTTATTGACTCTTTAGTTGTCTCTACTTTACAAGACGCCGGTGGCTATGCGATTTCCCTCCAAAATAACCTCCAGTTGCATTTGGGTTGCCATAACTATTGATTGAGTTATTTTACATTGGTTTGCCTGTGGTGCGGACGGACAGTCGGGCGGGCGGGCAGGTGGACGTACAGTCACGTGATTACCAAAGTTTCTCGGATGAGTAGATTACTTCATTTTCTTACCCATGGTGCTCCGCTGCGCGCGCTTCGCGTGAGAGCTCCGCTATTACTGAATGATTTTGCCGGGTCTAAATAAACTTGTATGTATTTACAGAAACAGTCGTTGGGTGCCCTTGGCTCCTGACAGAGCTGAAATAAAATAAGACGACGACGACGACAAGAGGTTATCAAGAAAAGGGTTATAAAGTCTTCTAATGGACAATACAAACCTGAGCAGCTGTTAGCATTTTCTTCCGCGAATGAAGCTTTATCATTTTATGAATTTTTTGTTTTAGTCCTACTAAAATATGCGAGGGTTTTATTGAGAGTTATTTTTTACGGACATTGGTGATATCGATTAGATGTTTTGAATGGATTTCACCATTTGCATATCTCTCATAAAACTTACACCTTGTTTGCCCTTCAAACATTTTGTAGACGCATTTCTCTTCGGACGACTGTAAAACCCAGGAGATAAAAAACAACAACAAAGGTTATGTATTTTTTCCTTTGGGGGGGGGGAGGGGAGGGAGAGGGGGAAGAGGGGGTGTATTTTGGAGATGTCCAAATGGTGAATGCTGTTTTCGAAAAGCAGAGAGGCTTCGTTTACTCTTCTCAATCTTACTGATAATTTATAAAGAAAATAGAAAAGACATTGATATATTTACATCTTACTTAATAGACCGCATTGGTGTTCTAGATAGTAGACTGTTACTAGCTCCCAGTCGAGGCTAGTACGAGAAAATAAGATGCACGGGCATCTACTGTAAACTAGTTCTAGTCCATCGCCGCGATTGAAAATGAGCATGTTTAGGATGCAAGGCCAACGCCTTAGCATCTCTGACTGATGGACGCGAGCTTCTGGGCTGATGCAAAGATTTTTTCTTTCAGCATAACTTCTGTAGGCAACGTTCAATAGGGAGCTTAAGTAACCACGACGGCGACAGCTACGAAAACGTCACTAAAGGAGTTATTTCGTCAAATGACTGTATCGAAGTTCAGACCAAGAAAAAGTCGTTGTCTTATGTTCACGTCCTCCACAAAACGTGAAATTTTTCATTTTCACGTCGTAGTCGTGCAACGAAGGCAAAGAAATGTACCAAAAGCGTGCTGTACGTGCAAAGTTTTTGTTTTGCCAATCGAACCAATTGCTGCGTCCCCGTTATCGTTTCTTAGGCTCTTCATAATTCAGGGCCCGTTTACATGGAAGTGGGGCACCCCAGGTAGGTGAGATAACCCGCTTAGGTGGTGTAAAAAAAAAAAAAACCCTCCTTTACATGTAATCTTACAACCCCGCTATCCTGGGGTGCAATTTCTTGCTATTTTTCGATTATTGCTATTTTTATTGGGATACCGCGGGGGGAGCCTCTGCGGAGGAGAGACAGATAATTGAATGGTCGCTAAGCACATAAACAAGAAAAAAACAAACCACGTGTTTTGGCGATTAATGCTCTTCTACACTCACTTGCTGCTCTTGTTGCAACCTTCAGTGCTGTGGCCTTCTATTGTTACTTTTCTTAAAGATGCAAAGCCACCGCCAAAGTGAATTTGATGTATCACGAATCCGACCCCGGCTAGGCGGGTTATCCCACCTTGAAACGTTTACATGGCAAAATTTTACCGCGGCTGAGAGGGTTAGCCGGTCTGGCAGACAGGGCTACCCGCCACGGTGGGTCACCGCACCTATCATGTAAACGTGATCAAATTAAAATGAGAGATTATACGGACAGGTGGGTTACCCCACCTAAGCGGGTTACCTCACCTACCTGGGGTCCCCCACTGCACCTCCATGTAAACAGACCCTAAGAGGGTAGGGAGAGCAGCTGCAAATATGGGGAGGGTCACTACTTATTACTTTGGGGACATTCTCTCATCACTCATGATAAACACAATATTATTATGGCATGGACGTTCTTTTACATTTTAAGGACAAAATCCTGCAAACACTCAATGGCATTTTTGTAAGGTACGTTAATCATTGAAATGGACAATAGCGTTATGGAGTGGGAAGGGCTGGTGCAAATTTGGTAAGGGTCACTGACCACATTGATTTGCTAACAAATGACTCTCAACTGAGAAAACAATAGTTGTATTTAAAAAAGAACACATAAACTTGACCAAACTTCTGCCTAGACAACAACTGACTTCACTCAGATTTGAGAGAAGGAATGCAGTTCCCATAACGAGGAAACAAAATACATTAAAATGAGTGATCAGAACGCCTCCCCCCTCTCTAATACAGCCCTAACTAGTGAATAGGCATGTAACGAATTTCGGCTGTTTTTTTTTCCAACACTTTCAAGGCACTCACGGAAGTTTACGACCCGTAAGAGGCTAACTGCTACAAGAAGCCACTTTGAGAAAAAACCTTCTACTATCGTACTAAGGTAGGTGTTCTGAGACCACAGCTAGTACCCCGGGAGCTAGTATCGAAGTTAAAGCTGGGGTTAGGCGGGATGAGCAGGAGAATCCGCTTTCACTTGCAAAATAGTTCCAGATCGCTATCGAGAATATATAAAACAATTTCAGCCAGCAAACTACAAGGGTTTCTGCGTAACTACATGAAATTTTATTTATATGTAACTATACAATTCTGAATGACAAAACTTGGCGCATTTAATGTCAAATGTACTTTAAACTGTTCGCTTATGCTTGTTTGTATGAAACGTTCATTGCATCCACCGACGAGATGAAGTCGATTCCCAACAAAAACGCTCTTGACTTACGCTGACTGAACTAAGTTAAAGATGAAGTATGGATCCTCTCTTTGTTTTACACGGTGAAATACACTTTGGGTAAAACTAGAAACTAAACTATAATTTGTTTCTTACAAATTGGCAATTATAACACAAACTTCATTGAAATAATTAAGTGCTGATATTGTAAAATATCGAAAACTATTAAATAAACTCTTAGACTACTGGCAAACCGTATTGTATTGACCTTGGCCTCACTTAACCAGAGCATTTCTAAACAGGAGAAAGTTCAAGCTGTCGATAGGCAAAAATTTGTTCTTTGCCAGCGCCAGGCTCATTCAAAGCGACACGAATAAATCTTCTCTCGAAAGAAGCTAAATATACATTATACATTATCATACAAATTTTATCCGTTTGAAGCAGACGAATAGAACGTGTTGGACGATCCAAACTCATTCAGCCTAACGTAACTGAGCCACACGTCGAACTTTTAATGAACTCAACTCACCAAGTCTGGTTAGTCTCATCAAAAGTTCGACGTTTGGCCTAGGCATTAGAGATAGGAAACGCGGATTTAGAGCTAAAACAATTGTGACGTCAGTATTTTCTTGTTATGCCAATATAAATCCACCGGGACGCAAAAACGTTTAAACAAAATAATGAACTGTGCACGTGTCTTTGTCCTCAGAAGTCTACTTCATGTGTCGGTAAACCTCAGAAAATTCATGACAGTTTTGATCTACTTACTTTACTCCCCATAAAAAGTTACGCTGAGTTCAAATGAAGATAGCGATTCGCTTTTCAGCAAAAGGTTGCTAAAGTCATACAAACGACTTTCCCCTGTACTGCATTGGTTGTTAACGTTCAATCTCAGTGTTGTCAAGGAGGAACTTTCCACGAAAGTGTCGAAAATATCGGTTAACCAGTCTTCACTGACTTCACTGCAAATGTTGAGGTTCAGATTAAGTTCAGTCAATGATGTCATTTCTACCAAACTGAAGCCTAGAAAATACATCAGCGGAGGCCAACGGGACCAGCTTTTATACCATCCAAATTCGCTGTAGTCATTTACTGTCAGAGTGAGTGTGGTTAATGACTTGTTTGCCGTTAAACCCATTTTCAGAAAGTGTGCGTACTCCCCAGCGCTCATGGAATGGTAATCACTGACTGTCACAGCGAGATTAGTCACCGACTCATTATTAGACAGTCCATTACAGACACTGGTTGCCCAGTAGTAATCAGTAGAAGTAATGTTGTTAATTGTTAAGGCTAAATCATTTAATGATGTCGTTCTTGCCAGACCATCAGCGAGACCTTCTCCCCAATACTCTGGCATTCCAATTGTATCTTCTAAGAAATCGATATCGGACTCAACATTGTTAGCTACAAGACAGAGTTTTTTCAGTGAGGCGTTTCCTTCTAAACATTTTCTAAGAAAGTTGCTCCAGAATTCATCTAAATTGCTACCATTCATAACAACGGAAAGTGTAGTCAAGGACTTCAATGCGATCAAATCGTCATTTTCACTTTCACATTTCCTCTCCCCGCCACGATCGTCGATTGCAAGACTGAGTGTGGTTAATGAAGCCATTCTAGCCAAGCTGTTGACCAGTGTGCATTCCCAGCCATCTTCAATGTTACTGTAATTGATGATTGCCAGATTTAAAACTGTCAGTGAACAGCTACGCAACAAACTAATCCCCAGTTCTCTCCCCAACTCTTTGTTCTCTATGTAGTTGTTGACTGTAAGATCAAGCGCAGTTAGAGTCATGTTTTCTGCCAAAGCATCACCTAAAAGATGTGGCCAGTCCTTAGTTACTTCACCGTCGTTAACGATTCTAAGGGCGATCTTCTCCTTTCTAGTTTTCTTGACTTCAGAGAAAACTGGTGTCAAAGATGCCGGACTATCAATTAAGAGATCAGGAATTCTGAACGATTCATTGGGATTTAAATTAACCTCATGCAATTTCACTTGAACAGTTACGTTGTCATTTGATAGACCCTGAAGTAAAGTTCCTGTCCTTTGGTCCGGCTCGTTCCAAGTATCGATTGCCAGGGAGGAGAGTGTATTTTGTTGTCTGACATATCTTGCAATAATATCAGCAACACCATTACTTAATTTTCCGTGCACTTTTAAAGTCAGGCTTGTCAGGGGGACACGCACAAAGACCTCACATAAAGCTTCTGCTCCATTACACTTCAGCTCTCCCCAAATGACTACAGTTAGGTGCTGTTTTGTTTCCAACCCATTCTCGACCACAGCAGGACGAAAATGCGCCACTTGATTAGATGTAACACTGCCGCCAGGGTCTGGATGAAAAGCACAGTTAACTGATTCCTTTACCAAACGAAGATTTTCCAAAACAGATTGCCAGTTGTCAGGAATCTCTCCACGGACAAACAGTTTTAAATTATTTAAGGAGCGATTTTCTAGAAGACAGCTTTGTAGAACATTCGCACCAGAGAGACTAAGGTTGCCGTTAACACTTACATCCAATGACTCGAGTGCAGTTTGCCGTGCAATTCCTCTACTAATAACAGCAGCTGTCAAATCTTGCAAATCTCCATATTTATTCAGAGAAAATGAGGTCATAGCTTCATTTGATGAAAGCCTTCCTAAAGCATGGATCGCAGTGTTACTCATTGGACCACGAACCTCGAGGACCACAGAGGTAAAAGCGGTGTCCGCACACAATCCAGTTTCAATAGCACTGGCCCAAGTCTCATCCTGTACCACGTTAAGAAGAAACGTTACTTCCTTTAAAGATTTAGTAGCAGCTAACCATTCACCGATGACAACAGCTGCGTCACAGGGGATACTGCCAGAGACTTGTAGTGTAAACTCTGACAAAGTCGTGTTTCCAGATAGGCCGCTATGTAAGACTTTAGCCAGGTCTGATGTCACCGCAGGGCTATAAAGGGTAAGAATCTGAAGCTGTGAGCAGGATTGTATGTACTTTGCAAAAGTCTCATAATCCCATTTATTGTCAAATGAATCGTGAACGGTGACGTCAACAGGCTTTTGTAGATTTTGAAAGCTGTTACAGGATTCTAAGACTTCGAATATATTACCACTCGCCTCATTAATTCCCTCAACGACTGGTTTCAAAGAGAGATTGACCTCAATATGCTGTGGAAAGGGTATATAGGAACAAAGAGTGACTGCCATTTGCTCACCTCGTCCAGTTTCACTGAAGCTTTCTGCGAAGAAACTTGCCGCCAATTCACCTCGCTGTTGACGGTCGTAATACCAGTCTTCTTTACTGTTCACTATGTCTAACTGTGTGCAACTGTCCCAGTCCCAATCCCCCCAGTTCTTCAGCTCCTCGCCAATCTGCGCAAATAGAATACTTGCCTCTCTGTCCAGTAAACCTGACACAAAAAGAAACACTTCTCGATACTTTAACACCAGGTCGCAAAAACTCAATCGCTCAAACACATTTAATTCGTGTTTTCGCAGTTTGTGAGCAATAAAGGCGGCAGCCAGGTACTCTTGGAAGGTCTTGTGAAGAAAAAAGTACTCGTGTTGAGGCTTTAACCTCCTCAGACTTTCTTCCTTGTAAAGAAGGCCTATGTCACGAGCTACCAATCCTTTGTATCTGATTTCAAGTGCGGCTAATTCACTTTCACGAAACCCGTGACGTTCACTAAGTAGACAAAGCCAAGCTAGCTCTCCAAGGGCAAGAATGTTTTCTTCAAACTGCTTCTCTAAGGCGCTGTTTTCCTCTGGGGCCACAAGGCAATGTTTGGCACAATAACGTCTCAAAAGACACTGGACAACGACTTGGTAAAGTTCGGTCGGGCAGTTGGTAGTTTTCCTTTGTAGTCTTCATAAACAACACACAGGAGGATTAAATTAAGCGGGTTATTTCGGAGTGCATTCAATAAATCGTTTTCTTTAATTTCCACTATCAGACTTTCTCCTTTCGATGTATGCTCCGGACCGATGTTTTCAAAATGCTTCCTGACGTACTGAAAGGCATCTTCGTCTGTAAATCCTTTGTTCTCCAGAAGAAGATCAAATTCGCAGTTTTTACGTACTTCAATTCCTGTTTCCTGCCGGGATGTAGCCAGGACAAAACAAAATGGTAAAATTCTTCTGTTGAGAAGTTTATAAACACATGGTCGTGACTTTTCTGGAAGCTCATCCAGACCATCGAGAATAATTAAAATTCTCTCCTGGTTATCAATATCCGTGATGAAGTCAGACAGCTTTGTCCAGGTCTCCTCCTTGATATCTTCAGGCAAAAGCTGCTCTTTGATAGCTTCCATTAGATCTCCGTTTATGTCTCGACATTTAAGGAGCAGTACAAATTCGAATTTAGGAAAGGAACAATTAGTTGGCATTTCTCCACGTGCCCAGTCATAAGCAAGTTTGAGGCAAAACGTAGTTTTACCGGTTCCTGGACTTCCCTCTGCTAATGTCATTTTGACATCCTCGCTTTCGCCAAGGGCCTGGAAGATGTCGTACATGCCCAACTCTTCATTTTCAACCTGGAAGTCTGCTTTTCTTCTTGAGATAATCTTCAGTCTCGTGTAGACGTTTTTAAGCGGTAATTGCATAGTGTTTAACCAAGAAAGTGGCTTCAACTTTGCCCGTCTCTCATATTCAGCTCTGAGCATTTTCAGAACACCTAAGTTTTTTGTATCTGTCAGGAGCAAAAAACCGAACAATCTGTTAATATTCTCCTGACATTCACTGTACTTCAAATGGATTTGGTACTTCATTGGTAAATCAAGACAAGAGATCATAATACATGTTATGTTATCTAGATAACGATAAACATGATAAGACACTGGAAAGACTGGAAGAAGAAGGAAGCATAAAATAAAACAACATTTCCAGGAGTTGATTGCACAAATTACGGTACATCACAATAAGTAGGTTGAGCACGATCGTCCGAGTGAACGAAGGATACGTTGGAAACAATTGTTTCATAAAAGCATACCTTTAAAAAAGTTTTGTTCTCGCGAGTATATTGCTGATGTTTCTAAGATTCAAGCGTACCTTTATGAAGAGGTTTATTGACAAGTATAGCTTTCTCGTAAACTGAACAAACCGCAGTGGCTTTTACAGATAAATCCTGCTCATCCCCACTGCAACCTAAAGAAAAAAAAAAGGCAAAGGATCCGTTGGCGTGAACCCTTGAATTGAACATAAACAAAGTTTATAAACCTCCCAAGGCCGGCTGGACAGTTCAGCTTATTGTAGATGCTTACTGTAGTTTATTAAAGTTTACAACGAAGAAAATCCAGGATATTGTTCTGAGACAAACAGTACCACACATCAGCACCTTAACCGTATGAAAATTTAGACGGCTAGCCGTTCAAAACCTTCCACGTCAAACAGTATAACACATCAGCACCTTAACCGTATGAAAATTTAGACGGCTGGCCGTTCAAAACCTTCCACGTCAAACAGTACCACACATCAGCACCTTAACCGTACGAAAATTTAGACGGCTAGCCGTTCAAAACCTTCCACGTCAAACAGTACCACACATCAGCACCTTAACCGTACGAAAATTTAGACGGGTAGCCGTTCAAAACCTTCCACGTCAAACAGTATCACACATCAGCACCTTAACCATATGAAAATTTAGACGGCTAGCCGTTCAAAACCTTCCACGTCAAACAGTACCACACATCAGCACCTTAACCATATGAAAATTTAGACGGCTAGCCGTTCAAAACCTTCCACGTCAAACAGTACCACAAATCAGCACCTTAACTGTATGAAAATTTAGACGGCTAGCCGTTCAAAACCTTCCATATCAAACAGTACCACACATCAGCACCTTAACCATACGAAAATTTAGACGGCTAGCCGTTCAAAACCTTCCACGTCAAACAGTACCACACATCAGCACCTTAACCGTATGAAAATTTAGACGGCTAGCCGTTCAAAACCTTCCACGTCAAACAGTACCACACATCAGCACCTTAACCGTATGAAAATTTAGACGGCTAGCCGTTCAAAACCTTCCACGTCAAACAGTACCACACATCAGCACCTTAACCGTATGAAAATTTAGACGGCTAGCCGTTCAAAACCTTCCATATCAAACAGTATCACACATCAGCACCTTAACCGTATGAAAATTTAGACGGCTAGCCGTTCAAAACCTTCCATATCAAACAGTACCACACATCAGCACCTTAACCGTATGAAAATTTAGACGGCTAGCCGTTCAAAACCTTCCACGTCAAACAGTACCACACATCAGCACCTTAACCGTATGAAAATTTAGACGGCTAGCCGTTCAAAACCTTCCACGTCAAACAGTACCACACATCAGCACCTTAACCGTATGAAAATTTAGACGGCTAGCCGTTCAAAACCTTCCATATCAAACAGTATCACACATCAGCACCTTAACTGTATGAAAATTTAGACGGCTAGCCGTTCAAAACCTTCCACGTCAAACAGTACCACACATCAGCACCTTAACCGTATGAAAATTTAGACGGCTAGCCGTTCAAAACCTTCCATATCAAACAGTATCACACATCAGCACCTTAACTGTATGAAAATTTAGACGGCTAGCCGTTCAAAACCTTCCACGTCAAACAGTACCACACATCAGCACCTTAACCGTACGAAAATTTAGACGGCTAGCCGTTCAAAACCTTCCACGTCAAACAGTACCACACATCAGCACCTTAACCGTATGAAAATTTAGACGGCTAGCCGTTCAAAACCTTCCATATCAAACAGTACCACACATCAGCACCTTAACTGTATGAAAATTTAGACGGCTAGCCGTTCAAAACCTTCCACGTCAAACAGTACCACACATCAGCACCTTAACCGTACGAAAATTTAGACGGCTAGCCGTTCAAAACCTTCCACGTCAAAATCGAGGTCAAATTTTTAGCCGGCACTGTCGAAAATTTGACCTGCGCTGTGTGAAGACCATTTCCGTCTAAGTTTTTTTATGGTAAAGGCGCTGTTGCATGGATGCGTGGTTACTCATTTGGGTGACAGTGTAACGGGTTTGGGTTTGCAATTCACCGGCGAAAAATGTCTGCGCATGCTCTACTAAAAATGTTGTTGAGATGAAAGAAGCGATGGCAGCTTTTTTTGGCAGTGACAGCGTTGCAACTTCTTGCCACTGTGAGAGTAGCCTGCGTGGCTGGCGTTGAAAGGGGAAGGGGAAGGGGGAATTTGGGCGCGCCCAAATTCCCCCTTCCCCTTCCCCTTTCAACGCCGGCCACGCAGGCTACTGTAAGAGATCAAAAATTATTTTGGTCGAAGTTTTGACGGAAGTGTGTTCTCTAGAGAATATAGCGTCCTGGAACTGGCGAAAAATTGCAGTGGCATGGTCTGATTCGGTGTTGTTGACGTTGAGATCGCTGGTTTGCGTGTGGAAGACATGCCTGAAAAGGTGGGTAATTTTTACTCTCTTTGTTTACTGCATGTTCCGTGCAACTCGGTACAAAAAGAAATTATAAAGTAGTGGAAGAAAAATTATTGAGCTTTGTTTTGGTATATAAATTAGCTTGTACCAAGTTGCACGGAAGCGACAGTTTTCTTAAATGTGTATCCCGTTTTTGTGTCAAAATTCGACTTTGTGAATTTAACATTCGACAACATTCGACTGTTGATCGAAGAGCGTATTACAACGCTATCCAAAATGATTTTGTTGTTTAGTTCAGGTTTCTTATCACGGATTCAACCAAAAAAAAGTAGAGAGACAGACATTCTTGGGCTTTATTTTGTTAATATGACTTAGCTTGTACTTTGTCGCTGGAAAAACTATATTTGGATGCTAAATCTCCGTGTGTTTACACCGTTTATGGCAGAAAAATAAGCTTACGCTTGGTTCAACTTAATCTCGGGTTACTCGGTACAAAAGGAAATTATAAAGAAGGTAAAGAAATATCCTTAGCCATTGTCTTGTGGCTAGTGGATCGAAAGTGGCCGGGTTGCGGTAGTTTTCTAAAGTGCGTAGTTCGAAACGTGATGTTGTCGATCGATGCACATTATTACAGCTTTGTATGTTACAGAAATCTGAGTTTTAACCGAACTATCGAATGAGAAAATGTGAGAGTGTTTTCATTAAAACGCTTCGACCGTCTTGGAGCTACTTTTCGATAGGTCCAGCAACATTTTGATTTGTAAAAAAAATTCTGTGTACAATGTGCACAACTGCTGTACATTTAGGCTTGCAATTTTACTGAAGGATCAAAGTTTGGATTATTTTGCTCATAAATTTGGCTTGGGATTATCCACACAACGAGTTACTTGTAACTTTCCTCGTTAGGAAACGCACTTACGAACATTTTTTCCCCTGTGTACAATTTTTTAGTACTAAATTTTTGCACACAACACTTTCTGTGTGGGGTGCTTCTTTGCTTGAAAACTGGATCCTGGAAGGAGATGAACAGGGTAATTTTCCTGTGAATGCTTTTGTTTTTCTGTCCATCGTTTTTGGCTTATTTTTCTGGAGCAAAGTTATGGGTGAATGATAGAGTTAACATGCTATTAAGTATTCAAAAGTTCTTTCCAAGAAAAAAAATAATCATCACCAATTAAACTTACAGGAGTTTAAATTTTGGAGTAAACTTTGAGTCTTAATGAAATGTTAGTTGGATCATGTTGATGAATACAGTTGTGTAGGATACACAGTTTCCAGTTTTGATAATCTGTCAGAATTATGAGAGAACGCTCAAATACAGATCTCATTCAAACTTCATAGTTTCATTGTAATTATCGTTTGTTTCTATTCCTATAAACTTATCATCAGGTCTACATTTTGCATGAATTTAATGTGATATATATTTGAAGGGGTTGTTGTTTCATGGTGAAGTAGTTTTCAGTGTTTTTTTTTTTTATATGAAGTTCAGTTTCTTCTTAGTTGTTGGCTAAGGTATTGTTAAAGTATCTGACATGTTAACATGCTTAATTTGTTTATTTCTCTTCAGAAACGATTGATTGATCCTGAATCAAACAAAGTGCAGCCTCACAACAAGATTTTTGACGAACAAATGTGTACTCTAGGAAAGCATATGTCCCTGACAATATCAATAAAATTTATTAATGGAAAGATCTGGGTGTTTACTCCTTTGTAGCACTTTTTACTACGTATCACTTTTCTAACCTATATACTAAAAAGATATAATCAGTATTTTTTCCAACTAACATATTTGCAATCAAAGTTCTTTTCTTTTATGTATAGTATTCCCCTAATTTTAAAAATTTCATTATCTTATTCAGATCAAGCACAGTAACCATTAAAAGGAAAAAAGAAAAAAAAAAACCTGCTCGGTCATAGACGGCTTTAAAGTTTTGATATTAAAATTGCACCTGTTCAAAATGAAAAGAACATGAATGCAGACACTAAAGTTCATTTAGCTCATATTCAAGCTTTTTTTTATAAATTAGAAAGACTGGCTGTAGAAAACATAATTTTGGTTTATCTTTTCTGTAAAAAATAATGAAGTAACTTCCAGGTCTCTGAGAAATTTCAAAGGACCCATAGTGTCTTATTTCTCCGCTGCACTGAGCTGTGAACAAAGGCCGTTTTTTCTAGTGACCAGGCTTTTTTCAGAAATATTGTTGTCCTTCGTGATCGTGAAGAGTGATCGCTTAAACAAGTCCAAAGTTGAATCTGGTAAAACGGTCAAAACGCGAGCATCGCAGGGAACGAATCCCATAGGAATAGGTGAAAAGAATAATAAAAAGTCTAGGCTATGCTAAACAAATCTGTGTGTATGCATTTGCAACTCATATTAAGCCGCAATTAATCTTCTTTTCACTGGAATAAACAAACGATGGAGGTATTGCCGCCATTTTGAATTTGGCAATGTCACGTGGTCGCGCATCGACCAATCAGACATTTTTCGCCGGTGAAGAACCGGTGAAGGGTTTGCTATAGGAGTTCTCTGCGCATGAGCAGATGGTAAAACCCTGACAAAAGTTAACATTCAACCTGGTTCGTCAGTTCTGTGTGAACAGGGCGAAAATATTGAATGGTTTCGGGTGAACGAAAAGTCTGGTCAAATTTATCCGTTTGTTCTGTTTGGTTTTTATTTAGTTGTAGCTCTTGGCGGGTTTACAGTTAGCTAAGGCCCCTCGAGCAACTTTCGTTTAGAAACTTTCTGTAGGCAATAAAAGCTCCCAAATGTCATTAATATCCATGGTACACTGTTCCGCTATGCTGCCGTACATAGCAAAGAATTATAGTAATAAAAAGCCCCACAAACTGAATAACGAAACCTGATTTTATGTATGACACTTGAACAAGCCCTCTCATACCCAAACGAAATGATATAAATCAAGACAGCACTACACTACATGTATAGACTGAATGCTCTAATGAATGAGGTATTACAGCAACACAATATAACCTATGGTTTACCTGCATATCTGAATAGTCTCGGTTGTTTTGAGGCTGGGGTATCACTTGGGGATAATGGCCTTTTACCTTTATCCAAAGATCGAAGTCTCTTTGATGAGTCTGAAATGAAATCAGTTTCGTGTTGATCAAATTATTTTTGCCAGTCAGAGATTTACCACCTTACCTGGTTTTGTTTTCACCTGGAGAATGCACATGTACAGTGCACCTTAACCTGCGATCAATGTTTCAGACAGCGTTTTACTTCCAGCCGAACTCTATCGAAATATTCTCGTTTAGTTATCGTTCTAACAACACAACTTTTTCTGCCAAAACGTAGGTGCAGTTGTTTGTGATAAGGTCTGCTTCTAAATGAGCATGTATTAAGAATGCTTTCAAGTTTAATGAGCGTACGGCATGTTTTTACTTTGTAAATGCAATTTAAATCATAAATATTATGTATATGTTGCATGTATATGTTGTAGTTAATTTTTATTTCAGTTAATTTTTGGTTTTCCTTTGTTTTAAATTAATTAGCATACTTATCATACCCAGAAACAATGGAAAAATAAAAATTAACTGAAATAAAAATTAACTACAACATATACATGTACATTTAGCCTGCGAATACAGCCGCCTCTCAGACAGCATTCTCTTCCGCAAACATTGCCGGTGGCAGGGAGTGATGGAAGATCTGGCTTTATTTGCGGGCTAGCGTACATTTCATTTTAAGTCTAATATATATGCAACAGAAGACGCACTACAACAGTACTTATTTTAACTGACCTTCTGAAGAGATCACTTTCATCTTTTCAACAAGTTTATCACACTGTTCCTTCCAGCTGTACTTTTTTGCATATGCACCACGCACAAAATCAAACTCCCCCAGTCGCATGTCCCTGTCTTTGTGACGGACGGCTCTTATTGCACTGGCCCAGTCTTTTGGATCGTCTGACGTTACCACACAGCTTGCACCATGAGGAATTTTCTTTAAAGCTTCCGCAAGACCGGAGTTCCCACTGACCAACACGGGCAGACCAGCGGATAAAGCCTCAAGCGCAGCAAGACCAAATCCCTCCGTTCGTGATGGCATTATAGCAAGATCTACTTCACAAAACAAACGGGCTAACTGCTCTCTACTTTCATTGAAACAACGCACAGTTAGTTGACTGCGATCAATGCCTTGCTGGAGTAACAAATCTTTTACTTTCTCCTCTTCTCCACTTGGAGCTCCGACAAACAACAGCTTATAGGGCTGTGGCTCGTCTTTCAACTCGGCAATAGCGCGAGCAGCGATGTCATATCCTTTTAGCTGAAAGTCTTCATTGTCACCACGTCCAAACACTAAAACACCGAATGTTTTTCTTTCTTCAGTGGCTTGATTTACCTCAGAAAATTCAGAGAAGATGCCTGGGGTAAGATTAAGAACATCTTGATCCTTTCCACAGGCACGGAGATAACCTGAGAAAGCTTCAGCCAGCTTGGGTCCAATAGCTACAACTTGATCAGCTTTTTCACAGAGTTTTACCTCAGCCTCGTGTTTTTTCTCACCTTTTGAAACGGTATCTGCGTAGGACTTGTACATACCAAGCTCTTCAGGAGCTGTATGAACGACCTGAATCCACTTGCACTTACACTGACGTTTTATACCCTGCACTTGCCGACCAAGAACAGCCCCATGTCCTATCACACAATCCACAGAATGGTTTTCAGGAAGAAAGGACAACCAGTCAACGGGGTCATAACCTGGCATTTCTTCTGCTTCAATAAGCTGTACATTGTGACTTGCAGCAACTTGTTTATCCTCTTTGCTGCACTGAGGGAGATAAACACTGACCTCCACGCTGGGGTGTTTAGCCAACTGAATGGCCAGCTCTCGGTTGATGGTTGATAAGCCTCCTTTTGTTGACCTCCATTCACTGCTTAACAGAGTAACTTTCAATTTCCTGGAGGAAGTGGATTCTGAATTGCTTTCATGGCCTTCCTGTGATGTAGAGGCTGTGCTAGGAAAGGATGACAATTCCTAAAAGAAGAGTGGCATAAATTTATTAAAGGGTTTATTAAAAAGCTAACCTGAGATCAGGCTCAATTTTGGCAGTTCTATACATTCTCTCTTACATAGTCTTACATAGAATGTTATTTACAAAGAGAAACGAAAATAGAGCCTGATCTCAAGTTATTAAAAAGCCTTTTTAAGAGTAAGTTCTTGCAAACTTTAATTGAGCATTGTCTTCCACTGCTTTTGTGTCGGCGAGTGGACTTGAAAAAACTGACTAGAAAAACATGCAGGACATTTTTTGAGTTTGGGCTACCTGTTAAGTCCTCCCCTTTCAAGGGAAGAAAGTTATTAAGCCCCCGCTCTCTTTTAAGCCTCCCCTCCCCTCCCCCTTTTATCTTAAATGATAGACTGTATTATTAATTATGTACTGTAACACTTCACGTGGACTGGCCCAGTATGATTTATTCATGTGCTTGAAAGGGGGCGGGGACAAAGACAACTTGTAGGGTGAAAGGTCAAGAGTGTCTCAACAGCACAGTACGCCTGTACCACACTAAGAGGTGTGGACTACATGTATGTAAACAGCACAGTACACCTGTACTACACTAAGAGGTGTGGACTGCATGTTTGTAAACAGCACAGTACACCTGTACCACACTAAGAGGTGTGGACTACATGTATGTAAACAGCACAGTACACCTGTACCACACTAAGAGGTGTGGACTACATGTATGCAAACAGCACAGTACACCTGTACTACACTAAGAGGTGTGAACTACATGTATGTAAACAGCACAGTACGCCTGTACCACACTAAGAGGTGTGGACTACATGTATGCAAACAGCACAGTACACCTGTACCACACTAAGAGGTGTGGACTACATGTATGCAAACAGCACAGTACACCTGTACCACACTAAGAGGTGTGGACTACATGTATGCAAACAGTACAGTACGCCTGTACCACACTAAGAGGTGTGAACTACATGTATGTAAACAGCACAGTACACCTGTACTACACTAAGAGGTGTGGACTGCATGTATGTAAACAGCACAGTACACCTGTACCACACTAAGAGGTGTGGACTACATGTATGTAAACAGCACAGTACACCTGTACCACACTAAGAGGTGTGGACTACATGTATGCAAACAGCACAGTACACCTGTACTACACTAAGAGGTGTGAACTACATGTATGTAAACAGCACAGTACGCCTGTACCACACTAAGAGGTGTGGACTACATGTATGCAAACAGCACAGTACACCTGTACCACACTAAGAGGTGTGGACTACATGTATGCAAACAGCACAGTACACCTGTACCACACTAAGAGGTGTGGACTACATGTAGGCAAACAACACAGTACACCTGTACTACACTAAGAGGTGTGGACCACATGTAGGCAAACAACACAGTACACCTGCACCACACTAAGAGGTGTGGACTACATGTATGTAAACAGCACAGTACACCTGTACCACACTAAGAGGTGTGGACTACATGTAGGCAAACAACACAGTACACCTGCACCACACTAAGAGGTGTGGACTACATGTATGTAAACAGCACAGTACACCTGTACCACACTAAGAGGTGTGGACTACATGTATGCAAACAGCACAGTACACCTGTACTACACTAAGAGGTGTGAACTACATGTATGTAAACAGCACAGTACACCTGTACCACACTAAGAGGTGTGGACTACATGTATGTAAACAGCACAGTACACCTGTACTACACTAAGAGGTGTGGACTACATGTATGTAAACAGCACAGTACGCCTGTACCACACTAAGAGGTGTGGACTACATGTATGCAAACAGCACAGTACACCTGTACCACACTAAGAGGTGTGGACTACATGTATGCAAACAGCACAGTACACCTGTACCACACTAAGAGGTGTGGACTACATGTAGGCAAACAACACAGTACACCTGTACTACACTAAGAGGTGTGGACCACATGTAGGCAAACAACACAGTACACCTGCACCACACTAAGAGGTGTGGACTACATGTATGTAAACAGCACAATACACCTGCACCACACTAAGAGGTGTGGACTACATGTATGTAAACAGCACAGTACACCTGTACCACACTAAGAGGTGTGGACTACATGTATGTAAACAGCACAGTACACCTGTACCACACTAAGAGGTGTGGACTACATGTAGGCAAACAACACAGTACACCTGTACTACACTAAGAGGTGTGGACCACATGTAGGCAAACAGCACAGTACACCTGCACCACACTAAGAGGTGTGGACTACATGTATGTAAACAGCACAGTACACCTGTACCACACTAAGAGGTGTGGACTACATGTATGTAAACAGCACAGTACACCTGTACCACACTAAGAGGTGTGGACTACATGTATGTAAACAGCACAGTACACCTGTACCACACTAAGAGGTGTGGACTACATGTATGTAAACAGCACAGTACACCTGTACCACACTAAGAGGTGTGGACTACATGTATGTAAACAGCACAGTACACCTGTACCACACTAAGAGGTGTGGACTACATGTATGTAAACAGCACAGTACACCTGTACCACACTAAGAGGTGTGGACTACATGTATGCAAACAGCACAGTACACCTGTACCACACTAAGAGGTGTGGACTACATGTATGCAAACAGCACAGTACACCTGTACCACACTAAGAGGTGTGGACTACATGTATGCAAACAGTACAGTACACCTGTACTACACTAAGAGGTGTGAACTACATGTATGTAAACAGCACAGTACACCTGTACCACACTAAGAGGTGTGGACTACATGTATGTAAACAGCACAATACACTTGTACCACACTAAGAGGTGTGGACTGCATGTAAGAAAACTGCCAATTTAATGATATGAAAATTAATTAATAAAATGATCACTAAAATTCCTTAGGGAAAATGCTTTGATCGTTAATCAAATTCTCTTAACTGCAATTATTATTACATGTAACCCTTTAACTTCCGTAACATCAAAATTCAAATTCTCATTTGTTGTCCCCATTTGTTTTCAATAGAAGTAGTGGGGAGAATTTGTTGAAGTATCATTTAGATTCATCTTGTGTGATCAGGTCCTCAATTCTCATGACCACTGTGTTTTATAAAGAAGTGATACTACAAGGAGAAATTTGATGCTGATCACTCTTAGGGCTTATAGGGTTAAGGAATGTATTGAGATCATTCTGGAGAATTTGTATGTGGATACTGGTGCTTAAAGGGTTGAAGCAAGCCATTGAAGCCCTGCACACAGCAAGAGCTTTTCTTGGTTTGAGTACTGTGAATTGCTAAGAACTATTCCCAGCCCGACTTCCCCCACGCCTCCCTGGATGGGATACTAGTCCACCACAGCATTGCTACCAATGGTATGTAGCCAGTTTTTAAAAAAAAAAAAAATTAAAGACCTGTGAGAGGAGAGGTAAAGGAAGAAATAGTTTCTTGACTGAGATCAAAACTCAAAAAAAATTATGTTGTTAGTAAAATCTATATTTAATTAGATTTTTATTAAGTCGGATAATGCTACCTTTTCACCAGATATTTAGAATTTAAAGCTCAGAAAGAAATACTATTCAAATTTTTTCTTTACCATTCTTTTTACTTACGTCTGTGTTATCCCTTTGACGAAATTATTATATTTTTGAAAAACCTACGTATTTTTCTGTAATTCCTGATAATGCACACAATCTTTTGAGATCATGACACTAGTCATTCTGTTGTTTTCTACAACATAATTTTTTGACATCATAGATCAGGTTTCATCTACTTTTACATATTACAGATCATGCCTGTTGAATAAAAGGAGAAAACACAAAAACACAGAAAAAATACTCACAATAGTCAAAATACTGTCTTAAAATTTGTGCTTTGTAACGTACAAAAGGAATGTTTAAGAAGGAATCCACCAGGAAACTGAGTAATTTTAATTCTCAGCGGACAAAAAGCTTGTACCTGCAGAATATTATGCACCTATGAATGTAAATCCCGAGGGGGGGGGGGGAGTGCGGGCAAGGGGCGGGGATTTGATGCCTGGGACTATCCCCGCTGTCGGGCTTTTGATCGTGCGAAGCAACCCCGGGGTCGGGACATTTGACTTTGACCGACAGAAGCCTGGTATCAATTCAGAAGCAGTTACCAAGTCCGTCCCTCGAGGCTTCCTGAAAGTCACGCTGTTGGAGAAAGGTATGAAGTTTTCATTTGTTTTAATCGCCATAATCCGATACTTTAAACTGTCATCTAAACAGATAATGTCTATTTTGAGAAAGTTTTTATCTTCAAGTTCCCATCTGATTGTAAAACTCGAATTCCACCATGAAAGTCAGAGGATTTCTTATGGGTCACTGATCCGACCTGTTCCGACATGTTGATCAGATGTCACAAAGCATTTTACGTTTTATTAATATTATATAGCACGGTCAATCTTCCTGGAGTGATTTTGTTGTTCAAGATGAGAGATGCTAGTGGAGAGAGAAAATACTTAATTACAGCGAGTAATTTAATGGAGCTTCCGTTAACCGTAAATAAAAGTAGTAAGAACGTACTTTTGAAATGTTCTTTTATTCGCTTTATATAGTATTATAGCATTGTTTGTTTAGACTTTTTCCCCTGGGGTGGGGGCTTTTCTGACACTTTTGATTGACCTTTCATTTCCCACCCTGGAAAATTTGATCAAAAAATTTTAAAATTTGTCTAATTCCCACCCCTTGCCCGCACTCCCCCCCCCCCCCCACGGGGTTTACATTGATAGGTGCATAATTTCTAACAGGCCTCGGGAAGAAAAAAATTCATTAAAAAATTATTATTCATTCTATCATACTTAAACCAACGATTTTGTAACTAGAGCACATAAGGCTTTGGACTGGCCGAGTTTGAGGCCAGGTCATATTTTGACTACTTCCTCATCTTAAGTTGATAATTACGCGGAGCTGCTCTAAAGAATATTGTATTCTTTTTACATTTTTCAAGAGCTAAAGATGTAAGTGGTCATCTGTAATAACACCGAAGAAAATTTCTCATGGCATTCCAAGAAAATGAATGTCAAATTTCACAAGAATTGTGAAAACACAGGAAAAATTCTGAAAATTTAATGCGCAAGATGTAATTTTGTGAAATTTGACATTCATTTTCTCGGACTCCCATGAGAAATTTTCTTTGGTGTTATCACAGAAAAATGTAAAAAAGAATGCAATATGCTTTAAATTATTCTGGTGCAGGATTTTTGTCCACTAAAAATAAATAATAATAATAATAAATAATACTCAATTTCTTGGTGGATTCCCTTTTTATTTAACCCACTGTAAGAATCACTGAGAATTTAGTATTGCTTTTGAACGATATTGTAGTGAAGTTGATCTTTAGTACGAAAACTTTAAATGGGTGACAAGTACGTTTGTGCATTTGAAAAACTACCCTGAAAAGTGAGTAAACAGTGTAGATCTATCACGCACGCAACTGAAATTAGTCCTGATGTCTTGAAGATATGTAGTTATTAACAATTGCATTGTTTCTTCACCTCCATATATCTAAAATGGTTTCCTTGGGAGTTTACAGATTGACACACACACTCAGGGAGGTGGGGGTGGGATAGGGGGTTGGGAAACTTCCATGTTTGGCACACTCAGTATGTGCAGGTCTGCATGGTAGAGGTTTAAGGGAATTCAATCTTTAAAAAAAGTATTCAATGTCCCTATTTAGCATTTTAAACAGGGTAGCAATTTGAATCCAGTTTGCTTTAAACAGGGTCAGAATCAAAGGGTTTTAGCACCACAGACCCAACCAGACTTTCTTTAAACCACCCTCCCCCCCACGAAAAGTTTCTTCCCTTATGCATGAGGATAGTACTGTTATTGCTTTGACGGTTTTTTCCGAGTTAAAAATCAAGAGATGGAACAGAGGGGGCTCAATTCAGATGTCCCCTGATTCAGAGTCTGATCTGATTAACATCCCTACACCAACATTCAAAACCACAACTAGAACTAACTCTCACACCTCAAACCTTACAACTTGTTCACAAGATATTAAGAAAAATCAACCTTCACTTAACTAACACTATTAGCAAACAGATGACAAATTTTGCTTACCTCCATCAGCCTTGACATCACAGGAATCCTAAAAATCCTTCAACACTGCAGACGTGAACACTACAACAGGAACAGAGAAGGAAAGTACACATTGTAAATAATGGTGCAATGTTGTAAACTAGATGTACCATTTGACACTTTTTTTTTGTGGGTGTTTAATTAATTATATAATAATTTTGTGGATTTATGATTTTTTGTAATTTGTAACAATTTATTTACTAATAATTAGTTGTTGGGCCTATCCCAATTATTATTATTGGGATTGGTCCAGTCTGGTTTTTCTCCTTCTGAATCTTAACAACTGCATTATATTTTTTATCTGAGTCAAAATACAGTTAAACCAACATTAGAAAATGTTGTAGGTAAAATGTGTTCTCAGGGTAAACCAGAATTTCATTGTCACCTACACACTGTACATCTGTATGACTAATACAGGCTAAGAAAGAAAGGAAATTCTGAACCAAACTAGGTTTAAAATAATTTATTATAGTCCTGCCCCTGGTTGTTCAAACACTGGATAGTGCTATGGATGAATTTCTAACCAGCGATATAGAGATTTATCAAAAACCACCAAAATAAAAAGCCACAAAGTAAGATATGAATAAAGTAGTGCTAAGTGGGAAGGCACTTTAAAGGGTAACTTTTCATTACAACTACATATAAACAATCTAACTCTTTATAAAGGTGTATTTTTCAAAAGAATAACCTCTTTCTATCCCAACTTTATTGGCATTAATGCTTTTTTGAAAAGAGTATTTATCCCATAAGTATGCTGACAGAAGAAGGGGAGTCCTGGACTACACTTTCTGGAGGATACTGAGGTGTACATTGCCCAGGGGGGAGGGGCAGACATCCCTCACTTAGCCTAAACAGGCATGTTCTGCTGAACAGGGCAGGGTTTATGGGGGTCTTAAGTCGTAAACAATTTATAAAATTTCACTATTTAGCATCTTGAACAGGGTGTCTAGAGCTTTAAACAGGGTGTGAATATTTGGTGATCCACAGTCTACAATTATGATTCCATCATTATTATTATTATAATCTAATCCCTTGATGCCAGTTTAAGGAAATGGATCAGGGTCATGAAATGAGTTTTCTTATCTTAAACAGGGTGGTGAAGAGAATGGTTTTTTGTTTAAATAGGATGAAGGTTTGAAGGCCTTTTGGCACTAAACCCCTACCCAAACTTCCCTTCAGTGTTCCCCCGCCCCCATCCCCACCACCCCAGGAAATTTTAATGCTATAAAACTAGACATTTCTTCTACAGTAATAAAATACTGACAAAATTATCAAATAATTCAAAATAACTTACCAAAGCTTGGTACATGGATCAATGACCTCTGAAACCCACACATTATGAAATTTGAACTGATTGGTAGCAGGAACCTTCATAATAAAATCAAGGGCAATGTGTCAAGACAAAGAGCAGTTCACTTAGTTACATATAGTTATTATAATTATTACTTTTATAGAACCAGTGCTGCTGCACTGCCTGGCTGATGGTACTGTTACTCACCAGTCACTAAACCTCCCCCCTCCCCCTCCCCCACACTCAGCCAAGATATCCATGTACTGTAGCAGGGCATTTGACTGGTAGGCTTTGCAAATGTGACTCCAAGATTTCAAAAAGGAAAAGTAATAATCCTTTTTCCATTTATATTTGTAACACCTTCTTTGAGTTACTTCAATTCTATGATGGTTTGTAACTTCATGCTAGTATCATGTACAGGACTTTGATATTCACATTGCCACATTTTAGGCAATTACTGTATTTCCTAGAATAAACTCACGCTCAAATAACCGGCCTCCCCCAAAAAGGTGCCTACCTCATAGGCCATACATGTATATGTGTAATATCAAACAAGGGCCTCTTGTGAATAAGCTCCCCCTTCCCCCAGGGCTGGGCATACTCTGGATTTCAAGCGATGGGGATGATCGAATGGGGGCAAAAATCAAAACTCAAAAAAAAACCTTAGGGCTTCCAACAAAACCCCCAAAAAATCCCTGGACCAAAAATTAACCCAAAAAAATCCCATGCGGAATTTCTAAGCCTTAAAAATTTGCAGAAGGCTTTACAGGATATAACACGAAAAAAAAATGAACAATAGAAATTGAATGTTTGTGTTTGTTTATTCATCATACTATCTGAATCTTCAGATTGTTTCGAATACCCAAAAAAATCCCTACTTAAATCAAGACACCCCAGAAAAAATGCTTGCCAAGTTTTTCTACCCAAAAAAACTCCTTCGATCATCCCCGTCACTTGAAATCTGGAGTACCCCTCTGGGCCGCTCCCCACCCCTTCACTTTCTTAAATAGTTAGGATACAAGGAAAACATGTTTCTATTTCCACTTAATTGATGAACAATTTTGATGATAATAATGAGTTAAAAAATAAGCAAACCAATACATGTACACATGTAAAATGTGTACTGGAGCTATGGTACACTTAATTACCAGCCACTCTTTTAACAGATGAAAGGCAATAATGTTGGCTTAATGTTTACATAATTTGCTTCTCTATTAAAAATTTAGCTAAAATAAAGCTACAATTCATTCTTATCAGTTCTATGTCCTAAACAACTAGTAATAACCTAAGGTTAAGGAGTGCAAGGTGAAAACAATTGAAGGTCAAAGCACTTTTGCTCCAGTGCTTTGCTTTGTGTAAGTTTCATGTGACGGATGGTCAAAAGATGCTTGATCAGATTACGACTGATAGAAAGTCCAAACGCGTGTGATCAAAGTGTGTTCTGTGCATTCCATACATTCTTAGTGGAAATCCAAAAGAATGCTGGCTGTATACCTGTACATGTGACACATACATAATAACAACCTGGAGATTAGGATTGTGGGCTCCTCTTGTCACCCGCAATTACTTTGCAAAGTTTTTGTCTGCTCCTCGCCAGAACCAAGAATCGAGTCGAGTTGATTGTTGCGTCTCGATTCTTGGTTCTCGATTCCTGCAAGACTCATCAAACCGGAACTGCCTTTATTTACACCGCTTATAAAGAGTTTTGTTTTGAGTGTAATTTGCTCTCTATTCTCGATACTTGATTGCTGCGAGAATCTGACAACGTTAGTTCAAGTTTTAGCAATCTTCTGACTTCTCTCACATCAAAAAAATCTTTCTACTGTATAAAATAACAAACTCTAATCAGCGTTTGATTCTTGCGAGAAATTTCTGAAGTAAGCAAATTATACAGTAGCAGTTGACATTTGCATTTGCTCACACAGCTCGGGTGACACTTTGCGTTGAAATCTTAAAAAGTTCAAACGGCATTTGCATCATTTAAATTGCAGAAGTTGTTAGCAATAGTTGAACTTAAAAAGTAATCCATGGCTTTTTGTCTGTATAATCCAAAATGCATGCAAAAGGAAGCTCGTGTAAATAAATGTTAAATACGCAATGGTGTGTAAACAAAGTCTCAAGGCGCTTCTCGTTGCTTTTGTTCTTCAGCTTGTCTTTCAAATTTTATTTGCCGATATTTTTTAATTGCCTCAGTTTGTGAATGTCTATCAGCATTATCCCAGTTGAATGTCTGGTCATCGGTGTCTAAAGTCGGAGGGTGTTTTTTTCACTTGAAACTTTACTTGTAATTTGACCTCTTGACTAGAATTGCTGTTTTCACGAATACGCAATAGTATCACTGTTTGATGTTTCCCACTTTGCTTTTTTTGAGACATGATTGCGTACAAAAAAGTTTCGATTTGAATATACATCTAAGGCTTCAGAAAACTTCAGAAACGTCCAAGAGCTTGGAAAACAACATTTTGTTTCGTCCAATAGACCGTGTCATGGTTTTCAACACCATCTTGATGAGTATACAAACGTGAGAGAAATTACAGTGTTTGTATGAGAAGCGAATGTCAAGTAATTTCCATAAAATAGCTGTTCTGAAAAAAATATCAATTTATTGTAAACTAAAGCTGCAAAGCAAAGGATTTTCTAAACAATTTTGGGGGTGTACCTGTGCTTAAAATTCTCTAGAGGCTTGCTTTAGATTTTCCATATATTTGTCTGTAATTTTCCCAGGACTTTCTTGCAGACAAATGTATAGAAAATTTTAAAAAGTGGTTCTAGGTCATTTAGTGCATGTAACGCCCTTAATTTTTTTCAGTAGAATCCTTAGGAGAAAAGCTTTAGTTTACAAATCATATTTTTCTAGAAGAGCCGTTTTACGAAAATTATTCGACATTAGATTCTTATACAAACACTGTAATTTCTCACCCGTTTGCCTACTTGTCAAGATGGCATCAAAATCAGTGACAAGGTCTATACAATCCACTTTTGAAATTAATGTCTCCTAATTTTTCATCACAGTAGTTGCAGTCATGTGCTAGGCAACAAAAAAGTTCATGCGTACTATGTTCCATCACGGAAGAAACAAGCGCAATTTTATGAGAGATTAGCCTGGGACAGGGCTTTGCAGTGGGGGAAAAGGCAACAAATGGGGTCAAATAGGAAAAATAGCGGCAAGCGAAGTGAGCCGAGTGGTTACCTGGGGAGGGGGAAAGGGTGGTGGAGCCTGGAGAAATGCCTTTGATGCAGCCGTTCCATGATACCAGATTCTGGTATCATGCTCTGACTGGTCTCTTCATGTTGACAGATTTGTGTTGCTGTTGACAGTATCACGCTCTTTCAATATCACACTCCTACAATTCAGGAAAAGATTTTTTAAAACACGGATTTCGAGCAAGCAATACAAATTTCTTTGCGAGACTTTTCACTTATCCCTCGGCTCCAAGAAGAGCAAAAAATATACCTGTGATTTGTTGCAACAAGAACAAGAAGCATTCAAAATATGGAGCTTTTCTTACACAATTCTGTGATAAACTACAGACACATTTACAAAGCGACTGACTTATAAACCGACGTTCAAAAGGTACAGTATTGTAATCACACTCCTACCAAAAGCGTGATAAAACCCAAAAGTCAGTGGACATAAGCAAAGAATGCATTTTGTGTACAGCTAAGCCTTGTGCTCCAAGAACATAAGAAGCTCACGCTGACATCCGTGATGAGAACTTGACGTCTTAACATTTCAATGACAAGTTAATTGCTGGAGGGCAGATCGGCGGCATCAAAGACATGTCTCCAGGCTCCACCACCCTTTCTCCTCCCCAGCCTACCTCTTAGCTCGCTTTGCTCGCAGATTTTTTTTTTTCACCAACGCTGATTTTTTCTCCTTTTTCCCACAATGCGGAGCCTGGTCCCAGGCTAACAAGAGATTATCTCAAAGGCTTCAACCTTCAGAGAACACACTAAATCTCCGAGCAGAATTAAAACCATTGTTTCTTGAAAGTTTTCAAGGATTGCGAATGCAATTTCAGAGCAAAAGATTAGTCATGTTATGGATGGACGTGTATGTTCTAGCTAATCTTCATAAAGCCAAGAGGCCGGATAAGCCTAAAATCATTTGACATTACAAGATAAAAATGCTATTGCTTGCACACGAGTATACATGTACACCGTTTGTTTGCATTTGGAGCAGGCATTTGAAACTTTACTAGAGGAAATGAACCTTGATACAGATGTTCTTGAGAAACATTCACTTTATAACTTGAATTGCTCCAGTTTTGACCATACAGTCGTTTGCGTGAATACATGTATAATCATGCCGTGTTGTGTTACAGCTGTAGGTCTTTGTAAAATTATCGAGAAATCAGTGATGGGTGCATCTGTTGTTTTCTGTCTTGAGAGACTCGGTCCTTGACTCGATTCTCGATAGCTTGTTCTCCATTCTCCATTTGTGCAGAAATCGAGAATCGCGAATCGAGTCGAGAATCAAGACTCGCAACAAATTGTCAACTTACTTTTGAAAGGTACTGTACGTATAAATCTCTCACAATTAATGTGTGGCCATTTAGCATGGACAAATCAAAATGGCCGTAATAAACAAGCTGCCCACAAAAACTTAGAAGCCGTATAACATGCCCAGGGTACTACAGATTTCAAGTGACACGGATGATCAAATGACGGCAAAAATCAAAACCCCAAAAAATCCCTAGGGCTTCAAACAGTAACCCCCCCCCCCAAAAAAAATCCCTGGATCAAAAATCGACCTCAAAAAAATCCCATCCTGAATTTTTGAGCCTTAAGGTATCAGCCACCCTTCAGGACCGTCCGCGCGCGGATCGCTGTAGCGTTAGTTGTTTTTATAAAAACCCCTATAAACCATATATTTTTTAAAAGCTTAATAATTCCAGATTATGGATTTGAACTAACAAAAACGATTTACTTAAATGTGTTTCGAAATTGGAATGCTTTGTGTAAAAGTACACGTCTCTATAAATCATGTTCCACTCCCGCCGGAAATAAACGGAAGAAAACAATTAACACCACATTCGCTTCTCAACACGTTCCACTAAAAAACCGTGTCTCAGATTTTTGA